TATGTGTATATATGTGTGTGTGTGTGTGTCTATATACATATAAACAGGCAAAATACTGAAAATCAACAATACTGTGGAAAACAATGTCTGGATCTCGGTAGAGATACAAATTTACAAATACATTCATATAATAATAATAAATCAATTCTTTTATAGCGCATTCCGCAAAAAGCCTCAATACGCATTACAACAAAGAACAACAAGCAGTAAATAAATTCGAAATAAACTACTTACACTAAAACCAGTTCTATATACATACATACATACACACATACGCACATACATACATACATACATACATACATACATACATACATACATATATATATATACATATATATAACGTATAACTCTAACTTTAGAAAAAAATTATATTTCTACAAATATTTTGACTACTTTTGCAGTAATTGGCAGCGTAGTATACATGACATAAAATGAACCTTAGGTAATTAAGAGGTAATAAATGTGAAAAATAACACTTAATTTAAAAAAAAGGAGAACACATCTTATGATGACCTCATGACGACATTATATTTAGGCCTATGCCACAACATTTAAATAAATGTACAGTACAATAATAGGCCTATTGGTCATTGAGATATATAATTAAGGCACCGTGTAATTAGTTAATACCTTATTTGAATTGCTATACTGAGCAATTGGAAAAGTTTAAAATATCGAATTACTCTCTATAGAAAACAATAACTAAACCAGAGGTTCAACAATATTAATTTTCATATTCATATTCCATACCACCAAAAAATTATTGTCCGTGTCTCAGACCACGTGACACTAATCAATCCAGACGATTTTGAATTTTCACACACGACCGAAAATAGAATTACTCGATAGACTGTGATTGCTGATATGATCAATAACGTACCTGGGAAAATGCTGCAAGCAATATCAGTCAAGAGTATGCAATGATGAAAATGAGCAAATAGTTTTCAACTGCTCTATGGAGTAATAGGATGAGGATTCTCTCTTCTCTGATTGGTCGGTTCTTGTTTTGCCAGCTGTGAATAGACTGTAATCATAACGCATCATAGGAATCATGCATCAAGCTTAATTACAAGCCTCCGAGCAATTCTTATAAACGAACATGAATTTGAGCCTTAATTTATGTAGATAGTAAATAACTGTTGAAATCTTAGCAAAAGAAGAGTGAAATATAATGATAATGACAAATATGATGAGGATGACAATAATAGTAATGACGATGATCATGATAATAAATAAGACCTATTATAACTATAGTGACAATATTAACAATAAAAATACAATAATAATAACAATAATAATAATAATAATAATAATAATAATAATAATATACTGATAATATAATAGTAGCAGTAATTACAATAGTAATACCAACAAGCTAAAAATTGAAATAATAATAATAATAATAATAATAAGAATTATTATTAATATTAATATTATTATTATTATTATTATTATTATTATGACATACCTACATTGCAGCGGGTGTTAACAACAAATTTAGGATTATACTTTAAGATGAATTTGCTGGACATGCGCAGTGTATACACCTTTCATTCCCCAACCAGTGATTAAATATTATTGTGAATATTATGAATTTTTAACATTACATTTACAAATGTTCACATACCTTGCCTCCTAATAGTCAGACCATAAATGATGTGTAACAGTCATTTACCGCATGTATACATTTTAAAAAGGCATGGAACAAATTATTGTTGGGTGATTGAAGTAATGGAATAAACATATGGTACGGGGAATTTAATAATTTTCAAATACATAGGCCTAAACTATGATCGGTATAAGAGGGAAGCAACGGTGGAAAACTTAATACCACGCAATGCCCTTGTGATGCGATCAATTTCAATCGATTCAATCAGATTTCCCAAACTCGCCAAATGTGTGAAAATCCATTTCAGAAAACAAAGATAGAGTCAAACACAGCAACGTGTACAAGGACATAGGAACGAACTCTATGTGAAATTATTTTAACATTTTCTCACGCGTGCTGACTACTGTCACGATACATTATTGTACTTTAAAAATAACCATTTGATTGTTTGTTGTTTTATACTTTAATAACGAATTACGAAATGTCAATCATCAATCCATCCGATATATGAGAGTGATACGTAGAATTCGACGATTAATAGCAGTTATTTGAAATAGATCACATGTATTTTGGTTATTTGGTTGATTGAATAGTACCTGTATTGATTGATTTAATTCATTGGTTGATTGATTGATTGATTGATTGATTGATTGATTATTGATTGATTGATTGTTGACTGATCAATCTATTTGATTGATTGGTTGATTGATTGACTAGTTTGTTAGATTAATTGTTGGATCGATTGATTGATTAAGTGATTAATTAAATGATTGAGTATTAATATTAGGGAATACATTCATGTAGCTTGTAGCAGCACGCATCTAATTTAGGCATCCAACCAAATAAACATTCACGCATACGTATGAATGTTCATCCTGGCACAACTTAATACTAAAGTATGGTTTATCAACAAAGTTCTGTCGTCTTGTATGATAACTCGAACAATTTCTTGTGACTTGCAATAAATGGCAACATCTCGTGGTCAGCTAACTCGCTGACATAAATTGGGTTGAGATCTCTTTTAAGATAATTGAGCGCTGCTGTTGAATCTGTTAACGTCGATGATGTGCCGGGTGAACCCTGACCCATTGTGTTTGATTAAACTCCACCTTTGATCCATTCAAATTCTTAGCAGACATTACAAAAAAAAAGAAAAAAAAAACTCTTGGGTTATATACACTGTACAAGGTGTAGGTATATAGAAAATATAGGTGTCCATATACAAGTCAAGTTGCTGCTTAGCACTGTGAACACAAATGTATAAATCATATAAATAATAATACAGTGTTCAAATATATAGGAACATAATGGAACATGATACACACACACACACATACATACACACTATATATATATATAATAATACATATTATATATATGTATATATAAAGGCCTATATAACATAATTTATTAGAGATAAATTCTAACCGTCTTGCGGCAATTCTATGACATATATTTAACTCAAGACAAAACATACCGTATATATTAAAGCCACAAATTATAGGGTTATGCTATGATATTAATAGATTTTTAACATTTTTAAAAACAATCTGCGAGTGTGGAAAAATAGGTGCCTCAGCTGGGATCCGAACCCAGATACTACATACTAATGTAGTAGTCTCTGTTTACATATTTATCTTAAATAATAAGAACAATTTTATATTAATTATTATTATTATTATTATTACTACTGTTATTATCAACCATGATAAACCCTAGTCTTTTATTTCTTTAATTGGAGACAGTAATAAAACGCAATACAAATATTTTGTTAATGTTTTCAGAAAACCCCTTTTTTTTTTAGATTAAATTGGCGATTCATAACGAATTATTACAACCCGCATAAAAGTAAAACTAATATTTTCAAATTATAGGCAAAGTCATAAATAATAGGTAATTTGATATTAGCATGTTACTGAATGTTAAAAATCAAATATTTGTTTTCTAATAGGACGAAGTGAATCAGATTATTACAACAAATATTTGGCTGACTTTGGTGAGTGCACTCTTCACTTATTATAATATTTTTTTATGTTTTTGTAATCAATATATGCTGTTTAATGTTATGTACTTAATATTTTAAACTGGTAGAGGCTATTACATTATGTTCTAGATATATACAATTATTATTTTTTTGAAAATGAATATCATGTTAGGAATTTCGGTTATATTATACATGACTTTACACCGACCAGTACGGTCACAAAGCAAGACCTTACCGTACTGTTTAAGAATCTCAGCCAGAGGGTGGAAAAAAACAGATGCAGACATAAACTATCTTAAAAATTGCAGAAATTGCGGTTTTTTCCTTAATTTATTATTTTCATTATTATTATTATTATATATATTTTCTTTAATTATTATTATTATTATTACTATTATTATTATTAGTAGTAGTAGTATTAGTATCATAATAATTATTATTATTGTTATTACTATTTTTATTATTAATATTACTATGATTATTATAAATGTAAAAGTCATTTATAACAACATGCCTATATCATTTATAAGCAGTTTAGACGGCACTAGTTTTCTAGGTTTTATCTGCTCGTCATTATAATGACAGCTAGAAATTGCATTGCGATTAAACTGTCACTACACTTGAATACTAAATTATAAGTGTGTGTATGGAGAGCTAAACGAAATGTCCTGAAAGAAGTAAACTGATCATGTCAAATCGATTGTCAAGCAGTAATTCATGTCATAAATATTAATTCATTTCCTAAACATCTTATTCTATATTAGCCTTATTATTTAAGGATGTAATGATAATGGAAATGAATAATGTTATAAATGATTTCCTTGAAAATGTCAATCATTATTCATACAATCAAATACGGTAGTAATAAATCATTAACACACAAAAGGAACGAACGATTTTTTTTTAAGACACACACTTCAAATACAACCAATAACATATTGAATTTATCCAAATTAGGCCTATAATATCAACAAAAAGATAACAATTATTGTATGTACATAAACCATTTTGTATATCGTAAAATATCCAATAATAGAATCTCAAATTACAATTGTAATATACAGGTAGGCATATGCCTGTATGTATTTTTATAGAAAGATGTCAATCATTCGAGAAATTGATATATAGGACCTACCAAGGTTACATTTGGTAGCCTGGTTATTCAAAATCCAAGGACAGTTGGAAAATATGAAATATTTTTCCAGCATGCGCCCCCGTCGTATCGATAAACATGGCAGACATACAGTAACACGTGCGTTGTCAGGTTTTAAAATAGAAGAGCGTTAGGTGATTGTTAGCAGACGCCCTATTTCGCGAGTAAAAAAAAAATCACACCAGGTTTATCGATTTGTATTGAACTTCATTCGATTGCCATTATTGTATAAATACAATTAGTAATACAATTATTCGAATCTAAACAAATAATATGTTAAGAGAAAGGGTGTGAATCATAGATTGTTAATACCATGGTAAAAAATACCACACACATCTGGCTTTCACACGAAAGGGGACATAAGCAAATAACAACTTGTTTCGCTATTTACAATAGTAAAACTAAAACTAGAAATTGCAAATTGCAAGTGAAGTGCTGCGAAGTAAAACTGCATAAAATGTTCTTCGAACAAAATTATTTATGCGAGTCAAGTGAAAATAATGAATAATAAAATTTTAACAAATAATATGAGACACGACCCATTGTCTATATTAGAACAGCGTTGGTACCGTGTAGGCCTACAATAGTGTTTTGCTGCAGTGACATCTCGCTGCTGCTGGCCGATGGCTCGCTGCAAATTGCAAGTGAAGTGCTGCGAAGTAAAACTGCATAAAATGTTCTTCGAACAAAATTATTTATGCGAGCAAGTGAAAATAATGAATAATAAAAATATAACAAATAATATGAGACACGACCCATTGTCTATATTGGCCTCAAAATATTGTGGCTGAGACATGAGCCGATTAAACGTAGATATAGGAAACCTAGAAATATAATAAAAACGCTGAATAGTAGCCTACTCCAGCGTCGCGACATGCGGACGTTGGTACGAGTAGGTTAGTCTACAAACGTCGCCTAAAGTAATTGATTTTACCCGGCAGAACGAAAGAAGGAAACTCCGCTTTTCAGCTGTCTTAGGCGCAGGTTTTTTGACAAACAATGACCTTTCAGAGGTCAAATTGCTGTCAAGAATATGAATTGGCTGCTTCGCAGCAATTACAAGCGTGTGTCTCGACAGCTTCCTTTACTTTTCTGCTTCTGTTGTTTCTTTGAACACACATATAGGTGCAAATAACTTTTTTAGTTTAAGTATCTTTGTAAACTTTACTGTATTGTTTTGGACGCTCCTTCTATTGAGAAGTGTGCCACTGATGAAAAAGTGTAGTTCCCATTAAATTATTATATAACAATTACTATAATCATACATCAAATATATTGCTAGTTACTAGCGCTGATACAGCACAGTTGTGATGTCAGTATAACAAGGAAGGCCCAGTGGAAGTTCCCCTATCGGAAAACAAACGCCCATCCTTGTCTCCCTTATCATGTCGAAGGAGATATTTGACCATTTCTTCAAAAATGAGAAAACGCAGGGGAGAAAGATATAGGGGGTGATTAAAAACACTACGATACGGGCTTATTCCTACGACATTACTAATAATATCAACAAAGAGGGTCAGACTCCCCGACAGCTCGGAGCTTCGATACTAGCCAATGTTTCAGTGTCGAATCAACAACAGTTCAACGATAATCTACAAAGGAACTTCTTGATCGATCCAAACATCTTTAGTAAATTGTCGTAAGTTATTAGTTGACCCAAAAATTCGACTAAGGTCGTGACAATTTGTCAAGTAACTGAAGAAATTAAAGACCACAGAGTCGCTGCTGATATCCACAATATATTGCAAAGGTTTGTTTCTCCTACAATCGCTTAATTGATCAAAATATGTTTGTCTCCAAAATTCGCTCTTACGAATAATTATATATACCGATTTCAATGCAGACTGTTATTTTACACTAAGTACTAACCTGACGATCTTTTACCATCAGTAGTTGTAGCAGCAGCAGCAGCAGCAGCAGCAGTAGTAGTAGTGTATCTACACCCTCAGATTAGAGAGCTCTGTGATTCTATGACCCCTTTAATTCGAGATAACTATTGAATTTAACTGAATTGGCTTGGTAACATTTTCTTTTACATTCTTCATTGAAAGAAAATAACTTACTTTAGCAGTGGTGAATACAGAGAGTGGCAAAAGGAGCACCCCCCTAACCCCCAGTAACAGTCAAAAAGTCCTTAAAACAAGTGTGACATTATTCAGATAAGAGATTAAAATGGCTAATACAGAGCCTTCTCAGCTTTAAAACCTAATTTCCCTCATCATAGCCTACCATCACAAACTTATCCAAACCCATCAGAAATTATTTCATCCGCCTAATAATTTATGGATCTGTCTATCAACCCTCAAAACTTCATCATTTAAAGCTGCTCTCTCATCCTCGTGTGTGCAACAAGACCCGATGCCTCAGCAGTAAATTACTCAATACTGTCATTTAATGTGCTATATTCTTATCTTGACATTCATCATTCAGCACGAACCTGCCATCATCGTACCCACATTGTGGAAACCGACAATTAAAAATATCTTATAGGCTTAGGCATTTAATAATAATTTACAATTTTTTTCTATGGTACAAAATCATAAGTGCTGTGTACCACTGTTTCATTTATATTATATAAGTAGGCCTAAATAACAAAAGGCATACATAATTGTATGGCCTAAATAAATGTTGGCC